GAGGCAGGAAGGTTTCAAACAGTCCGAGGCCAGCCTGGACAGGCCAGGAAGATCTTGTTTCATTTGGATTCCTTTAAAGGTTCAAAAGGAAACAGATTCTTCCATAGTGACAAGCTGAAGAGTAAGACATCCTTTCATGGTTTTTCTAGTTCAACTTGAATTTCAAACTGCATTCTTTCTACAGAAAGGGGGAAGAGGAAGAGATCTGCCAAAGTTAGAAGATCCTGCTTGTTCTGGTTTGCTTTTCTGGGTTAAAACATTCTGAGCAACTTGACGAGGAAGGGTTTATTTGGCTTTCACTTCCCGGTCATCAGTGAAGGTGATGCAGGCTGCTTTCTGGCTCCCTCTCCCTGTTGTTCAGCTAGCTTTCTTTTACAGCCCAGGCCCACCTGCCTAGGGATGGAACTACCCACGGTAGACTGGACCCACTCACATCAATCAAGACAATTTCTCATAGCCAAAGGTGGATGTGATCCAGGCAATTCTTCAGTTGAAGGTCCCTCTAATCAAGGTGACAATAAAAATTAACAAGGACATTGGTTCAGCTTCATTTACAATTAGTTAACTGGGTGTCTTAGTGTTCCTGTTGCTGTGATGAGATCATAACCAAAGCAACTTGGGGAGAAAATGGTTTATTTGGCTTACACTTCCATATCATTGGTCATCATTGAAGGAAGTCAGGACAGAAATTCAAAAAGAGCAAAAATATGGAGGCAGAAACTTATGCAGAGGCCATGGGGGAAGCCTAATTTTAAAAAGGCCCTACAGCTAGATCTTATGTAGGCATTTTTTTCAGTTGAGGTTCCCTACTTTCAGATGACATAAAACTAGCCAGGACACTGGGTGACCATAAGAAGCCACAGGGCCTACTGGGTCCACTCTAGTACAGAGATCACTACCAACAAAGCCAGCGCACAGGTTGGGGCCTCAGCTAAGTCAACTAGGTAGCTGTTAAATACAAGTCAAGTAAAGGAATACAGAATTAAAAAGATAGCATTATCTCACGGTTAGGCCTTTTAGATTACACACATTAATGCCATGATGGGCTGGGAATGTAGCTCATTTAGTATAGTGTTTGCCTGGAATGGCAGGATTATCCTGAGTTCAAGGGCTGCCTGGGTTACATGGTGAATTTGATGCCAGGCTAGGCTAAATAATGAGACCATTTAAAAACAAAACAAAGCTGTAGCTTGAATTCTAATTTGTCTTAATAATAAAAACCTGGAGCAGCAGCCACTAGCGTTCTTACCAGTACCTCAGACCAAAAAGGGGTGATCCTGTCTCTAGGAATCCTCAGACTGAATGCAATGAGTACCTGTCTCCTCCCACTTTATACTCCTCTCTGCCCAGCCTATCACTCCTGGCCCCACCTCCTTAGTGCTGGGATTAAAGGTGTGAGCCACCACTACCTGTGTCTCTTTTAGACCCGATCAATCTCAGGTAGCCTAGGGTGGCCTTGAACTCACAGAGATCTGCCTGTCTCTGCTTCCTGAGTGCTGGGATTCAAGGTGTGTGCCGCCACCACCTGTCCAAACCATTTTTTTTTTTTTGATGAGTGAACTGAATAACCTTTTAATGAGCTCTCACAAACAGGATTCTAGAATGATTGCATGGTTACTACTCAAGAGCAAGTGTTATTAAGATGTGGAAACTCATTCCCCTCCAAAAAAAAAAAAAAAATGGCATCTTCAGATACCAGGATCCCTTGTACTAACCACTACTGTCTGATATCTAAAAGGAGTGAGAGAGCTGGGTAGCATCAGGCACTTCCACATCAAGGTTGGCTAAACCATCTTGTGACCAGTTCTGGAAGCTTATGGTGGAAAGGCACAAGGGCCTGCTTTGTGATGCCTCTAGCTGTGTCCGGAGTCATGCTTGAATAGACACATTGAAATACACAGTTTTACAAGCCCTGTCTCCTTTGTGATTTAAAAACATAGCTTATCTTGGCAATAGAGAGATGGCCCAGCAGTTAAGGGTGTTTATTGTTCTTGTAGAGGACCTGGATTTGGTTCCCAGCACCTATGACACAACTCACAACCTTCTGACCTTTAAGGCACTGTGAACATATGGTGCACATACAAGCGTGAATAAAGGACTTTTTAAACAAAAATATTGTGTATCTTAATTTTTCTCAGTGCATGTTTGTTTTGTTCTGAAACAGAGTCTCCAGTATCCCAGGCTAGCCAACTCAGTACCTTGAACTTCTAATAAATACTCCTGTCTCCAATTCCTGAGCGCTAGGATGCAGGCATGCACCATCACTCCTGTTTTATAAGGTGCTGAGCATCAAACTGAGGGCTTTAACATACTAGCCTGCACTCTAGCAGCTGAGCTATGTCCCTAGCCGAATCTTAAAGGGGGGGGTTGGCAAAGGAGGGAGAAAAAGCCTGACCAGAGGGATTGCAGGACCTCCTCTGTGGGGAGTATAGGTGCCCACTGGACAGCAATTCTTCCATCATAGGTCTGGCATTCTCTCTCTAATTTTTTTTATTTTATTTAGTGTGTGATCATACATGTGGGTGGTCGCACACGCAGAGGTCAGAAGACAACCGGCAGGAGTTAAATTTCTCCTTTCACCACGTGGGTCCTGGGGATCCAATTCAGATCATCAGGCTTGGTGTCGGGTGCCTTTATATTACAACCGAAGAGATTGGGGAAGAGAATAGCCAGCGACCTCTTAGGCTTTGGATAAGCAGTCCAGTTAAAACAGAAATGGCTGATGGGGGACAGGGCATTTCTAACAAGAATCACCTGGCTATTTTCTTAAGTGCTCCTGAGAGACTGGTTTGTAAGACTTAGTATTTCAATGTGATATATAATATTTTTTAAAGACAGGCTCTCACTATGTAGCCTGGGCTGGTCTGGAACTCATACAGATCCACCTGCCTCAGTCTCTGTGGTGGCACTATGCCTGGTCATTATGGCTTTTACACAGAAATATTTCCAGGTATACTTCCTTTAAGTTGCATACAAGATGTACATAAATTAACAAAATGGTTCATTTATTATTCATGAGCGTTTTCCGACACGTGTTTGCATGGGAATCTATTTTTTTTTTGTTGAGTGCCAGCAAAATGATCTGTTGGTGAACCTTTATTGTTCATCGGTGTACACATGCTTCAGACTGCACTTCCTGTCCTGTCTCAATTAACTTTGTGTGTGAATCCTGGAATAATAATTCTTTTTGAAACAGGAGCCCATACAGCAGGGGCTGGCCTTGAATACAGGGACTTGAGATACTGACAAGTTTAGTAGCATCAAGAAGCGGGTGAGGGTTGGGTGGTGGTGACACACACATTTAATCCCAGAGATGCAGCGGCAGGAGGATCCCAACGAGTTCGAGGCCAACCTGGTCTACAGCGCGAGTTCCAGGACAGCCGGGGCTATATAGAGAAACCGCATCTCGAAAAACAAACAAACAAAAGATGGGAGAAATAGTGGGAAAGAAGGAAGGGAGGGAGGAGCAGAGAAGCAAGCACGAGCCTGTGTGAGAGGGCAAGCTTGCCAGGGGGACTCGCGGAGAAGCCTGACCAGGCTACAGGACAAAGGCCGTATCCATGGTCCCTAAGGATGGAAAAGCTTAGCGAGCCAGGAATCTCTACAACCCTGCGCTAACACATTAAACATGGTGAGACGGAAAGGTGCGGGAGGAGAGCAGGGATTGACGCCTGGCCGGGGAGCTAACCCCGCGTGAGAATGGCTCTGAGCGCTGCTGGGCGGGACAGTAGGACAGTAGGGCCAGCTTGCCGGAGGGGGCGGGGCGGTCCTCCCCTCTGCCTGTGCCCCGCCCCACCCCAGTCCCTCTCTCCCCCCCTTCTGTGCTCCGCCCCACCCCAGTCCCTCTCTCCG